TTGCCCAACCTTCCTTCTGAGGAGTGGCTGGTGGGTTTGAACCGCCAGCCTTCTGGTTAGCAGTCAAATGCCTTAGGCACTATGCTACCAGAGCTCAAAGTGGAGGGAGCTATTAAACTGGACTAAAGTTTATTAAAGACATAACCAACTGTTACTTTATAATCCACTCAACATTTTTTAATTACAAAAAATGTGTTCTATTTAAAATTGATTGTTCAACTATCAGTAAGATCAGGGGTTTAAAAAGTGCTGATTGAAACTGCGGGCAGCACGCCTGCCACGCGAGCGGACTCACCATGTATATGATCACAAAGACCCGTGCGATGGGGTATCTCCGGAGAAAGATGCCCAGGCGGATGCTGTGCAAACCGGGGGGAGGGAGGGAGAGAGAAGAGAGTTACACTCCAAGCGCATCCTCCAGCGAAGTAGCCAAGGACGCTTCTTCAGATTCCACTCACTCACACTATTTACGTAGCCAGCACAGAAGGGAGACTGTTCTAGCAGATTCCTGCGTGACTGCGTGAAGTAACCATATAGATTGGGGGCTTGTCTGTTAGAGCTTCAGCACAAGCGACGTCTCTCCATTCTGTGGCTACAACTGCAGGGGCAAGCATGGCCCTTCTCGAAATCACTTCTTTTAGAAACTAAGGCAGCAACACAAGACGAGGCAGGCTGTGAACTGCGTGACCAGGAGCAGAGTCTGGATGGAAGCTGCCTGCAAACAGCTCATCTGGAAGCTTTCCCACAGTCAGAGGCTTTTTAAAGGCAGGATTACAGAGACTGTCGTAAACATTTAAATCAATGCTATTGCGGGAGTATGATATCCAGACCCTACTGCTCACACCTCTCTGCAACCTCTTTCCCCCCAAGGTGGCCAATCGTACAAACGAATACACGTTTCCTCTACACCCTCTGCTTCTCTCACAGCCACTAGCACAATGGGTTCTCCCCAAAAACTACGTATGTTGAATAAATGAACAGTTGAAGTAGATGTGCTTAATAGTTTGGAACCAGTGGCTGTGGCGTCCTAGTCCTGGGGCTTCAGGAAGTAAATCCCCCTGCCTACTTTAATATCATAACTCTATCAAGACACAAAAAGATAAGATTATTATGCAACAATTTATGAGAATTGTACTTAATTATAAACACGAAAAGGAAAAAAGAGTTTAGTAGGTTATTAAGATAAGAACTTTATCGAGCTTACACGTAAACTGTTAAAACATTTTTTTTATAAGGTGGATACGTCTGCTAGTATGAAAAACATCTATGTGTATACAGACCAAAATCAAAAGCAAGCCCAATGCCATCGAACTGATTCTGACTCACAGCGACCCCCACTGGCTTTCCAAGGCAGTAAATCTTAATGCAAGTAGATTGCCCCATCTTCCTTCTGTGGAGTGGCTGGTAGGTTTGAACTGCCAATCTTCTGGTTAACGGTCAAATGTGTTAAGCGCTGCACCACCAGAGTTCCTTTTATATATAAAAATTATGGGTGTTATTTATATGTAATTGTTGTTAGCTGTTACCGAGTCAATTCTGACTCATGGCTGGACCACGTGTGCAGAGTAGAACTGCTCCATGGAGCCTTTAAGGCCGCAACCTTTTGGAAGCAGATCACCCGGCCTGTCTGCTGAGGTGCTTCCAAGTAGGTTCGAACTGCCAACCTTTCTGCTAGTGGTTGAACGCTTAACTGTTTGTACCACCCAGTAACTTACTTATACAACCTCATATATGACTTATGTATTAAAATGAATACTATTTATGTACATATAGAAGCATCTTTTATTCTAATCACATGATAAAATACTGAGAGAAAGCACTGGAATGGATCATTACGTGAGGGAGAAGCTTTCTCAATGAAATACAGCAAGAAGTTTATTACAGATAGAAGGGAAATGGTCAGAGTTAATCGTCAATAAGACATAGGTACCAGCAGAACTCTTGAGACTATCTCACGTCACTGAAATATCCTAAAGGAGAAGGTAAATCCCACTTCAAAGTATCGGCTTTGCCTCATGGGGCTCAGGCTGCCTGGAGTAACTGGAAACGTTACAAAGACCACGGACAGTCAGTCCACCCCTCAGCGGTGCCAGCATCACTTACCTGAATTGGTCGATTGAACTCGCAGCTTTGCGGACCTTGCCATACATCCCTGCCAGGTTAGTTTCTGTGTCATTAAAAAGAACAGGGACGTTTCGCAGACGTGTGCCTGTTCAAACAGTGCAATAGCAACAAATTAATGTATTGACAGCAACATCAACCTTCTAACAAAATTATAGCTGAATAACGTTAATGTAAGGTGCTCTGGTGGCATGGTGGATAAGGCATTTGGCTGTTAACCAGAAGGTCAGCAGTTCAAACCCACCAGCTGCTCTGTGGAAGGAAGATGGGGTGACTTAGAGCCTTGGAAACCCAATGGGGGTCCCTATGAGTCAAAATCAACTTGATGGCAGTGAGTTTGGCTTTGCGTTTTTATACATTAACATGGAAGAAATTCTCAAAGCCAAACTTCCTAAGCATTAGGAAAACCCAAAGCAGAAGAAATCATTAAAAAAGGCTGATTAATCTGATTACACACCTTGCCCTCACTTATCAACTATCTCATCATCTGACATTTCACACTTACAACAACTTCTATACCATTCTCAGGTGGCACTTCTGGTGGTCCAGGCCCCATGTGGGACCGTGGCTGGGCCTGGGGCACTCTCTGTGGGCCACTATGAACAATGGCCCACACGAAGGACAGTGGCCCACCAGCTGCAGGACACCTTCTCCAGTTTGCTCATGATGTTCTGGTCTGGCCACGGAGGAAGTGGGGTGACAGTGGGACAATGTGAGGTCACAGGTGGGCAGGGGGAGGCCGGGTGAGGGCTCACAGGCACGGGGGAGGCTGGTGGAAGAGGTAGAAATGGGGCAAAAGGAAGGGGGCTGTGAGGGGCTGTGGGGCCAGGGTGCATGAAGGACCCAGGATGGGTGGCAGGCAACGCCCGAACACCACCATCCCCAATCCTTGGTGGCTCCATGGTGGTAGGGAAGGCATGGTGGAGAAGGGGGGCTCACCACACTACATGCATCTCAAGCATAATGGGGGCATCCAGTAGGTGATGAACTGTGAGGGTGGGGGAAGAAGAACACTAGTGGAAAAGACGGGGTGCACCCCCAACACTCACATAACACCAATCACACATAATGACCTGGTCTTTGGAACCTAACCATGTCAGTAAGTGAGCAATGGGTGTAAAGTGAAACCCATGAGAGCCAAGATTCAACAGGACTGCTTTGCTTCTGTGTATCTTGCAAATTTTCTGCCTTTGACAGGGGGCAGTCTTACCACTTTTTTATCCCTCTCTGTTTGGTTCCCTAGTGCCGCTCTGACAGGAATCTACCACCAATAAGACGGCTTGAACAAACAGTTTATTCTCTTACAGTTCTGGAGGCTAGAAGTCTGAGTTCAAAGTGCCAGGCTCTAAGGGCTGGGTGAAAACCCTTCACCTTGGGTTCAGCTCTGCCTCCTGCTTCTGGCCCACTAGAGCTAGAGACTTTCTTCACTCAGACAGCTACTGGCTGCTGAGGCTCACAAGCCCAAGGTCGACAAATAAAATGGCACAGTCCCGACAGTACCAAACCACATGGCAGGCCATTAATTCAAGTCTTGAAAAAGTCCCAAGATCGGCAGGGCGACATGGCATGGCAGGATGCTGAACAATGACTCAGCTACACACAGGGTTCAAATGTGCCATCAGCAACCTTCCTCAAAGTTGCTGCTTATATACTGGAAGCAGCCCACATCCCTAAAGGAGCAACTCAGCTGCTTCAGTACATTCCACCGTGGAGCTAATTAACAATCTCACCATGGGGAGTAACTATATCCTGTTGCCCAGCCACTCAACCAGGCCCAGCCAAGTTGACATACAACCCTAACTACCACTTCTCTGTTAGTGGTAAACATCTCAATTTTCCTTCTCTGACAGGTTTCCACCTTACATAGGCCCTACTGTGTAAAATGTTTCTATATCCACAAAAACCAAGATCAAAATTTAAATATTAAAGATATTTTCCCCATGAAATTAGCAAAGATTTTAAAGTACCCAGTGTTAGCATGAGTCAACACACACAAGCACTGTCTGGGCTACAGCATGAGACCGGATGCCCTTTCTACATGGCGAGGCTGATGACCCCAAGTTTTTATCTCCAGCCCAGATGCCCCAGGAAACGCCAGACTCATCCAATCACACATTTCATCTCCATTAGGAGTCTAACAGGTACCTCACCAGCATGCCCCAGTATGATCCCGACTCCTGCCCTCAGCACCAACTAGCTTCTCCCGCGGCCTTCCCCATCTCTGTACGAGACAACAACATACTTCCACGACCCGGGCCAACAGCCTCGACACCTTTCTTTCTCTCAGACCCCATACCCAATCTGCCAGCAGATTTTGCCAGCTCGCCTTTAAAATAAATCCCAAATCCACCCCCACAGTCCCTGCACCATGCGAACGACCACCTTCCCTCATATGGATGGCACAGCGGTCTCTCACAGGTCTCCCCGCCCCTCTACTCTTAGGCCTCTGCAGTCTGTTCCCCACACAGCAGCTGGAGGCAGGCTGCTACAATGTAAGTCAGCTCAGCCATCCCCATACCGCCCTCACTCAGAGTAGGAGTCCATATGTTGGCGTCACCGCCTCCTGTGAGCAAGGGGCACTCCCTCTGCTCCAAGTGCATGGGCCTCCTTGCTGTCCCAGCAACATGTCAGGAACATGCCCGCCTCAGGGCCTCTGCATCTGCTTTTCTCTCTGCCTGGAAACCTTTCTTCCTGACCTCCACACTACTCACTCTTACCTCCTTTGGGAGGCCATGTCTTCAGTGAGGCATGCCTTGACCACACTATTTAAATTACAATCCCAGCCCCACATCTGGTGTCCTGGTCTCTCCTCCCTGCTTAATCCTCTCTGTAGCACTTACCATTGTCTAATATAATTTATTGCCTGTCTCTTCTGCCTATATCCACTCCCCTCCCAACACCAAATGTAACATCTACAGGGCAGACTTTGTTTTTTTTTATTCACCACAGTATCTCCAATGTCCACAACAGTTCCTGGCGTAGAGCACACAGCTCAATAATTATTTGCTGATTTTGACAACAAGTATCAACAGCTTTCAAATGTGTACATCTATTGCAACAATGGGCCCAAACACAGCAACAACTGAGCAGTGTTTGGTTCGGCTGTGCACAGGGTCACTATAAGTCGAAAATGACTCAGTGGCACCTCACACCAACACCAACACCTGACCCAGTAGTCCCACTTCCAATAATGTATCCTAACAAGACGTGCATAAAGGACAATTTCCTCAGCACTGCCTACACGGTAAAACTGTGAAAGCCAAAATGTGTATAAGGCAGAAACCTGTCAGAGAAGGAGAACTCAGATATGATCCACTTACACAGAACTACAGAAGTGGTAAGACTGCACCCTGTCACAGGTGGAAAACCTGTAAGACCCAGAAAAACAGGATGATCACACTGATTCTGGTTCTCACAGATGTCATTCTATTCAACCAAAACTGGCAACAGTCTAAATGCCCAACCACAAGGAATCGATTATACAAAATTATATTACTTCCACATGCCAGCAGTCTATGAAACATACACAAATGATTATATAAAAATATCATATCATATAAAAAATTAAAACCCGATTAAACAAGTACTACAAACACACACAGGAAATGTCTGAAAGGAGATGTCCTGAATGTTAGGGAGATGACAGGTGGCTGTAGTTTCCTTTTTTAATTTTGTATTTCTTTCCCTTGTTACCCTCCCGAGAGGGACCGAGTCTCCGGGAGCAAGGTAAGCACGGGCGGGCTTGTGCTTCCTCACTGATCTGCACTGAACACTTTCCCTTGTTACCCTCCTGAGAGGGACCGGGTCTCCGGGAGCAAGGTAAGCACGGGCGGGCTT